CTTTCCAATCCAATCTTTGAGGCCAGTATTACCCTGATATTGAAGTCAAACAAAGACATCACAAGGAAAACAAAAAAAATAGACCAATATCCCTCATGAGCACATACTAAAAAATCCTTAGGAAAATATTAGCAATTAAATTTAGTAACATTAAAAAAAGATTATATACCATGACTATGCTCAATTTATCCTCAGACTGCAAGATTAGTGGTACATTAAAAAATCAATTAATATTATACACAATATTAATTTTTAAAAAGGCAAAATCCAAATGATAATCTTCATAGTCACAAACAAGACGTTTGACAACATCAAGCACTCATTTATGAAAAAATATTCTGATGTTAGGAATAGGAGGATATTTCCTCAATCTTGTAAAGGCATCCATGAAAAACCTAGAGCTTAAGTCCTACCTAATGGTGACTGAATGCTTTCCGCCTAAAATTAGGCATTACAATGGCACAGTTGAGTAGTTGCACAAAACCTACAATAATTAGTATTTGGCCCATTAGAGAAAAAGTTTGTGTGTCCCTATGTTACATGAAAGAGGCCACCTGCAAAGCCCTACATATTGTATGATTGCATTTATATGAAATTTCAAAAGGACATAAAGCAAATCAGTGGTTGCCTGGGGTGGGGAGTGGGAAGATGGTTTGATTGCAAAAAGGCTGAGGGAACTTATTGGGAGATGAAAATGAAAATGTCTTAAGGTTAGATTGTAATGATGCTTGACAATACTATAAATTTATTAAAAATCACTAAATTTCACACTTACAATGGGTGAATTTAACGATATACAAATTATACTTCATTGAAACTGCTGAAAATAAGGTTCACGCATTATATTTATACATGTTTAACTTGTTTCTCTATTTGCTTTAACTATAAATGGTAAGTACTCAGAGGCTTGGTTAATTCCAGTTCAGCTGTTTTCTAGAATGCTTCATACATAGTGCTGTGTCCTTGGCATGATATTTTAAGCAAAATTATTTTTATGAACAAAATTATACGGGAACTAAAATTCAATATACATAATACCCTAAAACAATCAGAAGAATTAAGAAATTATTTGAAAAAAAACTAAGAAATTATATTTGCTAAATATACATATATATATATTTATATTTTCCAAATATATATATACAACATATATATTTTATATATATATATATAATATATATATATATATTTGAAGCTAAAAATATTACAAACCATCTTGGCAGTTGTTATTAACAGTAACTTCTCCAACATAGAATATACTAGAAAAAGAAAAAATAATTTAAAAACTTTAAAAAGGAAAATACTAGAAAAAGGAAAAAGAAAACTCATTTTAACCAAATCATCCCATCTATAACCCAGAACTGAAGCTTAAAGTAATTTTATTTTTATATTGGTTACAACACTTTCATCTTTAAATTAAGTGTCTATGATACAAAAAGAATATCATAGAATCTCCTCAAGATGGTGGTGTAGGCAGACTCTGAACTCACTTCCTCCCATGAACACAACCAGGTTATAGCTACTCTTGGAAAAACTACCCCTCTGAATGAATTGAAAACTGGATACAAAGAACCCCCCACAACAGGGGACATTCCTGACTGAGGTGGAAGAGCTGGAAATTCCTTTCTGAAGAGAAATAAGGCCACCTTTGTGAGCTGTAGAGCTTCACAGCTGGCTGGCCAGGAGCAAAGCTAAGTTATGCAGCTTTCCCTGAAGGGGCGGGGACCTGAATGGGAGTGTGTTACCACTGTAGGCATCCTTTGGACTCAGCACAACTGAGATGAGTCTCATAATATACGTCTTTGCTGGCTATTAACTCCGATGGGGAATACCCCCAGAAAAGCTATTGGACATAAGCAGAAAAACCTAGCTCTTAAAGGGCCCATGCACAAATTCACCCATCTCAGAAAGCAACCTAAAATCTCCAGAAAGAAGGGTCACAGTCCTTTGGTGAAAAAGACTCACCTGGTAGGCTCTGGGTGCTTCTTGATGAAAGATGAGACTTCTCCAGGGACTGAGACAGTGGCAGCAGCCATTGTAGTGACCTAGTACAGGTGTGCTGACACAGACGCTGGCAGACACTATTGGAGTTCTTCCCCTAGCTTGTTGGCCCAGGGTCTGCCCCACCCACTAGATCTAGCAGCCCACCCTAGGAACTGGCCCTACCCAACAGTAAGCCCTCAGGCTATTTGTGGGCCTGCATAGAGTAGGTCCCTTGATCCTCTATACACAGGCAAGTGGGCCTACCTCTGTGGGGCAGGGTCTGCATGAAGAGCAGATTGAGTGTGAGGGGCATTGGTGGAGAGTGTGGGGGCCTCTGCAGTGGGGCGACTGGGTATGCTTCAGGGGGTCAGGACATGTACACAGGACTGTGTTGATGGTGGGTGTGGACCCATGAGGGGTGAGGCTTATCAGTGGCACAAGACCTGTGCTTCTCAAAGAGCCACATAGGGGATTGAACTCACCTTCCAAAGCCTGAAATAATTCGGTGCTCCCTTGCCTGGGGCAAGCCACACTTACCTGCAGTCCTGAGAAAGCTGACAACAGCCTTGCAGACTTGGGGCCTACAGCAATTGTAAGCCTCTGAGCCTAGCAACCAGCCACGTTGGGTGCCTACTCACTTAACAGAAAAATGGAAACAGGAGTGTGCTCTTAGACATTGCAGCCAACTGCGCTGGGGCTCCCCAAATTCAATTTATAAACAGCCACCAAGGGGGGAAAGCCTAGACTCCCTGGGTACCTGCAGCAAGAGCAACTCTGCTGCAGCAGACACACATAGCTCACACAAGGGTGACTCTTGGAACACTTGGACTGGGGACAAGAGGGAAGCATACTGCTGGGCCTCAAAAAGTGTCTCTTACGTAAGGCTACTTCTACAAGATCAGGACACATAGCTCACTCAGCTAATATGTACACAATGGAATACTACTCAGCCATAAGAAATGATGAAATCCAGTCATTTGTGACAACATGGATGGAACTTGAGGGTGTTATTCTAAATGAAATAAGTCAGAGGGAGAAAGTCAAATACCATATGATCTCACTCATAAGTAGAAGATAAAAATAACGACAAACAAACACATAGCAACAGAGATTGGATTGGTGGTTACCAGAGGGGAAGGGGGAGGGAGGAGGGTGAAAAGGGTGATTAGGAACACGTGTGTGGTGATGGATTGTAATTAGTCTTTGGGTGGTGAGCATGATGTAATCTACACAGAATTCAAAATATATTACAATGTACACTTAAAATTCATATGTTATAAGACAACATTACTGCTATTTAAAAACATTTTTAAAAAAGAATAAAGGATATCATAGTTTTTTCATGTTCGACATTACATTTGTAACTCATAGAATTATAATGAATTTAATAAAAGTTAAAATGTATCATTGAAGTTTACTGTTAAACATAGTAAAGGTATTTAAAGAACTAAAAAACTTTTAAAAATTTCTATTATGGGGTCCAGCCCTGTGGCCTAGTGATTATGTTCAAAGCGTTCCACTTCAGCAGCCAGGGTTCAGGTTCCCAGGCACGGACCTATACCACTTGTCTGTGGCCATGCTGTGGCAGCGACCAACATATAAAATAGGGGAAGAATGGCACAGATGTTGGCTGAGGGTGAATCTTCCTCAAGCAAAAAGAGGAAGATTGGCAACAGTGTTAGCTCAGGGAGAATCTTCCTCAGCAAAAAACAAGTCATCTAGCAGTTTATTTCTTATGAAAAAGGACACATATTTTTTCTAATTTTGCACAAAGGCACCATATGGGTTACCTGCATTCATGCTTCCATTAGCATGCTACAGTTTTTTAATTAATGTTTTATTCAAAATATTAATAACCATATTCACAGATGAAAGGAACTGGTAGGGGTCAGCAAATAGGTTCAGTCCAGAAAGAGTTTGAGAGGTTGAAGCTGAGTCTTACAAGATTTAAACTGGGATCCATATAAAGTCTTACTATTCTTGAGTTAAAAAATCCAACTATCATGTAAAAGGATGGGGGCGAGATGGCATAAAAGCAGTACATGTTAAAGGGAGGTTTTAGTTGAGAGTAAGTTTGATAGCAGTTCAGATGGAAACCCTTTAAATATGCAATGTCCTGTTATTAGAAGAGAGATTAGATTCCTCTCTACAGCCACCAAGAAGAGAACCACGGCAAAAGATCTGAAATGAAAGGAAAGCAAATTTCAGCTCAACATGTTTTTAATGATTAGAATTCCCTGAAGCAAGATGAGATAAACTGACACCTGAGATATTTCTAAAGCCGCATTCAACTTCTGTTATTCAATAATTCTATGTTAACACATGATATAATAACTCAAGTTTCTGATCATCCAGGTCACAATCCACAAATTAAAGTTTACTGTTTCCATCTTGCATCATGGCAGGCTCATTCCTTAATTGAGGGGTTTTGTTTATATATGTAATTACTGTGGAAGTCTCCTTTTAAAAGATTTCTGCCTTTCCTTGAAGTTATATCTCCATCTATACACTAAGGAGGAAGAATTGGGAGATCAACCACCAAATATATCATTTAGGTAGTTACTCTCTCTACCTAGTCCCTCACCCACAGTGAGGAGGAGACCATTGCCTCCATGACCAGGAAAAAGAGGGCATCTCTCTACGTTACCTGTATTTCTCCCGAGCATAAACAGTACAGTGGATGCTGATGAAGATTCAATTTACATATATGTGTGTATACATATACACACACAGTCAAATTTCATTATTTATGAATTGTGTCTTTGTAAATTCATCTACTCCCTAAAATTTATTTGTAACCCCAAAGTCAACACTCATGGCACTTCTATGATCATTTGTGGACATGTACAAAAGGGAGAACATTTCGAGTCATCTGATACGAATGTTCCCAGCTGAGCAAGGTGGCACTTTGCTTTCTTATTTCAGGTCTCATACTGTAATTTAATATACTTTATGTTTTTCACATTTTTTCACTTTTTATTAATGATTTCACTGTTTAAAATGCCTCCCATGCATAGGGCTGATGTGCTGTTCATTATTCCTGAGTGCAAGAAGACTATGATGTGCCCTGTAGAGAAAATTCCTGTGTTAGGTAAGCTTAATTCAGTCATGAATTATGATACTGTTGACTGTGACTTCAATGTTAATAACTCAACAATATATATTAAGTAAGTTTTCCTTAATCAGAAGCACACATCAAACAAGGTCATATACTGAGCAACTGATGAAATATTGTGACCAGAGTCTGACAGAAACCTAACCCTGTATTTCTTCTAAGATCAGTGGTTCATTATCAGTATTCACTACTTCAGTGTTCACAGTGCCTTTATGGAACATAACTACCATGAGTAATGAGAATCAAATACATATACATATATACATAGAGAGAGAGAGAGTTTGTGTTTTCCAAAGCGAGCTGGGAGTGGGAGGAGGGGAAGGTGATGTGCATGAGGAGAAATGTCTCATATATATGATGCATCTGGGATTAGTAAGATCCATGTAAGAATTCTGGCTTTATATGCCTGATAAGCAATCCTATTTTTAGGGAATTAGTTACTAATTGTATGCCTCATTATTTCAACTGCTCTAAACATCAATTTCATCATCAGGCATGTAGTGCAAGTTCAAATTAATACTAGCTTTTATATAATGCTGACAAACATGAGTACCACAAAGTGAAAGTATGAAGATAAAATTATTTAAACTGTTTAAAAATTCCCTAGAATATTAAATATTATCAGATGATTTTTTTAGCATATAATTGCAGGGAGCTACACTTTCAAATCTTCCTTTAGGACCATTGGGAAGAAGAGTTGTGGTTGATTAATCATGTCTGCCAGAATCATCTTTATAGGAAGTATCATGTTGGCTTAAAACCTGCTGTGTGATTGCTTACAGCTGTATATTGTAGATACATAGTTCATATGTCTAATATTACACCTCTGATCACATGCGGGGAGAATTGCAAGTCATTTAGCTCAGGAAGTACTAAAATTTAATTTCAATACCAAAGTTTTGCAACTGTTGAGCCTGGGGAGCCTCAAACTTAAAGTATGCTGACAACATGGGATTAGGGAGACGCCATTTTGGGAATCTGGCACAGCCTGCATATGGCAAACTCATAGCCTCCATACATATACAGACACAGTAGCATTTGAAAATTAGTAAGCACAAAAATGAAAAAAAGGTAAATATCCAGGGAGCTGTAGCTATGTGTCAATCTGGTAGTCATTTCATTTTCGAGTTGTGGGAATGTGTGTGTATGAGGTAAGACCCACCCCCCATGCCTGCAAGCAGCTGGCTGAGATATGGGACTAATTAAACGGCAAAAGTAAAACAAGTACTAAGGCCCCAGGCTCTGTCCCAAGCTTCTGGGAATGTTTCTTGTTTTAGCAGGAATACTTCAAGGATGGATACAGAGTGGGAATTTTACTGTGAAGCTAATGAAGCTTTAGCTTCAGGACCCCTCACTTGCATGAGTTCTCTCAAGCCCCTGGGAGGCCTTAGCAAGGTGTTCACATTGTCTTGTAGTATTGTAAAACTTGCCAAAGTAAGACAATTTTGCAGATAGGACCACTGTCTCTTTGTAATGCCTCTTCCCCTCCATCACACCTCCCTTTACATCCAGTGGCTTTAGAGTGGCTGGGGGTAATTTTGGAACCCTGCTAAATTAGGGACACATTTAATTAGGATTTAGTGAGATAATTATGTGGTCCTCAGTCACTTCCATGAGGTTGTTGTTGATGGCCAGATGTAGGCATGGCTTCTTGGAGTACTCTTACGCACTGCAGACCAATTCTTTTGGAGTTCTGACAAAAGGTAAAGGGCCAGAGACCTTATCTCTCAGGTTGTCAAAACTTGACAATAATCCTAAAAACTTAGGTCATGTTACCAATAATGAGCTGTGAAGAGGAAAGAAATTTTTCCAAACTATTAGTAATAAAAAACACATTTCAATCAACAGTGCTAGAGAAAAGACTGAATTATCTATTATCTATAGGAAATGATATTACAATATCATTGTCAATAGTCATTCAAAGAATATAAAGTCGAAAAATGTACAAAAATATTATAAAATTGCTATCAGGTAGTTAACTAGTACAAAAATTATTTCGTTTGACTAGATTGCGATGTTTGTTGTATTTATTGCCTTTGTAACTTTGTGTATTTTCATTTCTTTTTCATGCTAAATATTCAGTTCCATGCTTCATGAGACAAGGATAGGATGAGTGCAGGCTGCCTCTAGATCTGGCTAGAAACAAGCTTGACTGATCAGTGAAACTTGTAATGAATTCAGTTTCAAGGAACTGGCAAACACAGGAGGAGAGAAAGGGAATCAGGCAGTAGCTGGTCCAGCAAGTCATCAGAAATATGCCTCAGGGAAACTCCATCTGAGTCATTATTCAGGCGTAATGAGAAGGCAGTATGTCACCCCTCAATTTATTTTATGAGTCTATTTAATGGAAGAAAATGCTACTGCTTATAATCTTGTTTTCCTGGTAAATGGGGATCTTAGAACAATAGAAAGTATAACTTTTTTAAAATTTATCTTATTGAGTTCCCCTTCCCCTCTGGTAAGCATTGATCTGTTCTCTTTGTCCATGTGTTTGTTTATCTTCTACATATGAGTGAAATCATACAGTGTTAGTCTTTCTCTGTCTGGCTTAATTCACTTAACATAATACCCTCAAGGTGCTTCAGTGTTGTTGCAAATGGGGCAATTTTGTCTTATTTTATGGCTGAGTAGTATTCTATTATGTATACATATATCTCATCTTCTTCATTTGTTGGGCACTTGGGTTGCTTCCACATCTTGGCAATTGTGAATAATGCTGCAATGAACATAGGGGTGTGTAAGTCCCTATGAATTGTTGATTTCAAGTTCTTTGGATAAATACCCAGTAGTGGGATAGCTAGGTTGGATGGTATTTCTATTTTTACTTTTTTAAGAAATATCCATACTATTTTCCATAGTGGCTGCAACAGTTTTCATTCCCACCAATAGTGTATGAGGGTTCCATTTTCTCCACATCCTGCCCAACGTTTGTTGTTTTTTGTCTTGGTAATTATAGCCATTATAAGAGGAGTAAGGTGATATCTCATTGTGGTTTTGATTTGCGTTTCCCTAATGGTTACTGATATTGAACATTTTTTCCTGTGCCTGCTGGCCATCTGTATATCTGATTGGAGAAATATCTGTTCATATCCTCTGCCCATTTTTTGATTGGCTTGTTTGATTTTTTGTTGTTTAGTTGTATGAGTTCTTTATATATTTTAGAGATTAACCCCTTGCTGGATATATGATTTGCAAATATATTCTTCCAGTTGGTGGGTTGTCTTTTTGTTTGGTTCCTGGTTTCCTTTGTCTTACAGAAGCTCTTTAGTGGGATGCAGTACCATTTGTTTATTTTTTGTTTTGTTCTCTTTGCTCGGGTAGACATGGTATTCAAAAAGGTCCCTCTAAGATCAACGTCAAAGAGTGTACTGCCTATATTTTCTTCTAGAAGTTTTATAGTTTCACATATTACATTTACCGCTTTAATCCATTTTGAGTTAAGTTTTGTGTATGGTGAAAGATAATGGTCTACTTTCATTCTTTTGCGTGTAGCTGTCCAGTTTTCCCAACACCGTTTATTGAATAGACTTACCTTTCTCCACTGTATGTTCTTGGGTCCTTTGTCAACGATTAGCTGTCTGTAGATGTGTGCTTTTATTTCTGGGCTTTCAGTCCAGTTCCGCTGATCTGTGTGTCTTTTTCTGTACCAGTACCATGCTGTTTTCATTTCTGTAGCTTTGTAGCATATTTTGAGGTCAGGGCTTGTGATGCCTCCAGTTTTGTTCTTTTTTCTTAGGATTTATGTAGCTATTCAGGGTCTTTTTTGGCCCCCCATGAATTTTTGGATTCTTTGTTCCAATTCTCTGAAGAATGTCATTGGGATTCTGACTGGGATTGCATTCAATCTGTAGATTGCTTTAGACAGTGTGGACACTTTAACTATGTTTATTCATCTAATCCATGTGCATGGAATATCATTCCATTTCTTTATGTCATTAGTGATTTCTTTCAATAATGTCTTATAGTTTTCATTGTATAGATCTTTTACCCCCTTGGTTAAATTTATTCCTAGATACTTTATTCTTTTTGTTGGGATTGTAATTGCGATTGTGTTCTTGAGTTCTCTTTCTGTTAGTTCTTTATTAGAGTGTAGAAAGGCAACTGATTTTTGTAAGTTGATTTTGTGCCCTGCGACTTTGCTGTAGTAGTTGATTATTTCTAATAGTTCTCTGTTGGGTTTTCTATATATAAAATCATGTCTTCTGCAGACAGGAAGAGTTTCATTTCTTACTTTCTGATTTAGATACACTTTATTTATTTTTCTTGCCTAATTGCTCTGGCCAAAACCTCCAGTACTATGTTGAATAAGAGTGGCAAGAGTGGGCACCCTTATCTTGTTCCTGTTCTCAGAGGGATGACTTTAAGTTTTTCCCCATTGAGTATGAAGTTGGCTGTGGGTTTGTCATATGTGGCCTTTATTACATTAAGCTATTTTCCTCCTAAACCCATTTTATTGAGAGTTTTTATCATAAATGGATGTTGGATCTTGTCAAATGCTTTCTCTCGATCTACTGAGATGATCATGTGGTTTTTATTCCCCATTTTGTTAATGTGGTGTATCACATTGATTGATTTGCAGATGTTGAACCATCCCTGTGTCTCTGGTATAAATCCCACTTGATCATGGTGTATGATCCTTTTAATGTATTGCTGTATTTGGTTTGCCAATATTTTGTTGAGAATTTTTGCATCTATGTTCAACAGCGATATTAGCCTGTAATGTTCCTTCTTTGTGTTGTCCTTGTCTGGCTTTGCAATCAGGGTAATGTTGGCCTTCTAGAGTCTGTTAGGAAGTGTTCTATCTTCAATTTTTTGGACTAGTTTGAGAAGGATACATATTAAATCTTCTTTGAATGTTTGGTATAATTCTCCAGAGAACCCATCTGGGCCTGGACTTTTATTTTTTGGGAGATTTTTTATTGCTGTTTCAGTCTCTTCATTTGTGATTGATCTATTCAGATTCTCTATTTCTTCTT